TGTAAACAAGCCCTACATTTGTGAAAATCGATAGGTTGTTTACACAGAGGTATTTGAGAAGAAATATTGGCCTTGTGCCAGTGATTTTGGGTGGCTTAATTGCTTATTAACAAGTCTGAAAGAATATTAGTCTCATATCGAATATTATGACGATCATTGTATAATTTCATCGAGTAGTGATTTAGATGTAATTATTTCATATGCGAGTGATGATGTTACATTGATGTGAAGATTACGAGAGATAAAACTACGAGAATATTCCGATTAGCCAAGCTTCCAGTGATGCCATGAATGTGGGAGGAAAATACATTGAATTTTTTTTAAAGAAATAACTGGTTTCTAGAGAAATTCGAATTGACAATGTATTTTAAATTTACTAACTAAATATTTGTATAGTTTTTGCTCAATACAAAAATGCTAACCAAGTTAAAACTAAGTTTACATATCCCTTCTTCTTCGTTTTAATCAGTCCGTAAAAATCCACTGCTGGATTTGTCTCAACCGCTACGCATACCAAATAGATTAGCGATCGCAACACACAAAAAATGACAAACATACAGACCCGGAACAAATATTTGTAGGTCGTACAAATACTTGTTCTGCAGGAGATTTGAACCTCGAATCTCGTTGCTAAGCCACTGCACCACGGAGCCGCTTTAAACTTGAAGAATCCTCTCCTAATTATCTAATGAATTTTTTATGTACTACTTACTCGTTCCACTCTTTACACAATAATCTATCTATAATATATGAATAACTTTATCCAATATTATTTTCTATTACAATATGTAAAAAATACTTTACTTCTTCACTCCACCAGCCCACAAACAGCCCAATGCTGGACATGAGCTTCTCCCATAGTGGAGAGAATTTGCTGCTATCACCACGGATTGCATACGAATTGGCGATCGTAATACCAGTCACTGAATTAGCTACAATATGAATAAGAACAAATTAAATTATTTATTTATTACATTCTGTTACATGTTATATTACATCCTTATTTTTACTAAATAAAACGACTGCTAAAATTTCGTCAAAGTACAAGATCTGCGAGAAATCTGCAAGACTTCCGATGATGATAAAACTTTACGTTGTAATTTTGCTACGTCCTAATTATAGGATCATAAATTTTATATTCATTCCAAAATCAAGTTTTTGTAAAATTTTCAACTTAAGTTGTATTGCGATGAAAAGTAAGTACGCCTAAAGCAAATAAACAATGTCAAACTTTCAAATAGTATTTTCTTACAAGACGAGATAATTAATACCCTTTTGTTTTAAAATATACATGTCTATTAAAATAAAATAACGATGGAAACCAACCTAGTAAAACCATTTCCGAGAAATCAATTACATGTGAATATATTTAAATAAAATTAAATAAATATAAATAAGAGTTGCTCACTTAAAGTATACGATACATAAGAAATATTGATTATTGAGTTTATTTTATTTATTATCTAAAATGTGGTGTTATTAAGATTTTATATAATCAGAGACCATTTATTGTATCCTTTTTTTTTTCAAAAAAACATCTCCGACGTTACAAATAAAAGTTTTAATAATTTTAAAATAAAAATTTTGTACAACCGACTTCAATAAAAATTATTAAAAATAACTGAATAAATATTGGTCAGACCTTGAACAAATTTATATGGGACCACATGTGAAGCACCAGCTTTCAATTAAAATAAGAATCATCGAAATCAGTTCACCTTAAAAAACACACACACAAAAAAAACATACAGTCGAATTGAGTACCGGCTCCATTTTGAAGTCGGTAGAAAATGGATATTCATGTCTTAATGGCATGCAAATAACTCGCTCAGCTAAATAAGGCAATTATTTCGATATTACAGATAGACATTCCAATTTCATTATTAAGTTTAGATTTACTAGTGACCCACCTCAGCTTCACTCGGGTGGAACTAAACTAATATTTAAATATATAATATGTATATATGCCTTATTACATAACCTACTGAAAACTGATGAATTTCTTTGTAAACAAAAGTAGAGAGAGGACATACTAATGAGAGGATTATGTTTTTTTAAAGATAAAAGAAATTAAGATTTACAATTTAATTACCAAAGCTCTAATTTCGATCTAAGGCAAAAATTTGTACACAGAGAAATCTATACAACGAGTGTAAAAATCCATCATTATCCCGTCTCTAAATAAAAAAAACGTTTACTTAACATGGCACTTAACTGCGTTAAAGGAACATATGGTGATAGTGTATTTCCCGAGAAATTAAAAAAATGCAGAAGATATGTGAAATCCACTAAAATGCAATAGGATAGCGCGGCGGACATTTCTTTGCACAAAAACGCTCTCAGAACTGTGAGAAAGAATATGTCTAGCCGAGCGATACATGGAATTTAACTTAAATTAAATTTTGTTTTACTTAATATGAGTGACAGAACTTCAGTACGGTTGTACTGTTCATAGGGAAATATGAGGCAAAAATTTAGAGTACCTTTTTGAAAACCTCTTTTGGGTCAAAGATCATAAAGATACGCCTTTAAAATCGCACTAAAGCTGTTGGAGATGCCAAATCATAAAACAACTCAGTGTAGAAAATGTTTTAAATTTACTGCTGTAAGAATACGGGTATACCCTTACTCTGAAAAATAAAATGAGTACGGGAAATTTCAAACCCAAATAAAAATTCTCATTGCTTAAGCGGCAACTTGCTGCAGGAAATATGAAACACTGCTATTGGAAAAAAAAAACTTAAAGTGCAACTTAAAAAAAAGAATTTTTTTTAAGTTGCACTTTAAGTTTTTAATAATTAATAACTAACAAAACGCTAGGATTTTATATATTGGTTATCAGCTGATTTTAAAAGCATAGAAATTCTTAAATTCTATATTGCACTTTTGTATGCAGCCATTTGGAATACACCATTGAAATTCGGAAATCAAAATAATAATAATATAATAAAAAAAGTCCTGTTCACAAAGGTATAAAAATTTACATTAGTACACTAATAATACGGTTGTAGACAATCTGTGACCTTTTTCAGAGACTGGTGTCCATACTAGGGTAATCCCTATGTTATAGATCACCAGGCCCTCACTCTAACGGATTGCACATATTTATATTTCCAAATACACTACAAGAGAAATACAAAAATAAGAAATATTTCACCAAGGAACGATTCTACATGTGTAATTTTATGTGTGCGTGCGCGCGCATATGTGTGTGTGTGTGTGTGTGTGTGTGTGTGTGTGTGTGTGTGTGTGTGGATGTGTGTGTGTTTTGGTAGAGAGGAAATTGATAAAATTTTATTCAATTTGTTATAAAGGTAACCATCCAGGAAGCAGAAAAATCTATGTAAACATATGGCCCTTCCTAATTGCAATATGTTCGTTTCAGATACCCCTCCTCAGATGGTATTGTGATATGTCAACAATGGTTGACATGGTCCAAAATATACCATTTTTTTCATTCTGCAACACGATACGACGTAGGCATTTAAAAATAAATATTAACTTACGTGTTGTCTATTATTTACGTCGAGATATTTTACGCAATCCGTATCTAGAGAGGGTAAAATAGGAGCAAGGCCTATTAATTTGGTAGCAAATGTGAGCTGTAATGTGGAAGTATTCTAATTCAGTTACAGTGATGTTATTACTGGTAAATGTATTTACTTTTATTTATGTAAGTTTATTTTCTCTTAGTCAATTAGTTATTAAATCAAACCCATTTTATGCGAGGTTAAATACCTCAAACCATATATCTGTCTGGGAAAGAAGAGCCGTGTCATCCGCAAAGGCAATGATCCTCCCATTGTTAATTTTTAGATTATATAAGGAATTAATATATATGTAAAAATAGCGTGGCACCATGTACACTAATTTATGGTACACCATGATGGAATGGAAGATCATCACTGCAGCAACTACCAATCCTTACGTTCTGATATCGAACCGATAAATAGTCAGAGAATAGTTTCAGCTGTGTATTTCTTATTCCAAGATCTTCTAGCCTATTTAACAAGAGTGAAACGGAAACTGTATCAAATGCTTCAGCTAGGTCAGGAAATACAACAATTACTTCCTTTTTATCGTCAAGGTTTGTAACAGCAAAATCAATTAGTTCATTACTGCATCCAGAGTATAACGTGTTCGTCGAAATCCATATTGGAAATGTGAAAACAGATAATGTTTCTCTAATTTTTAATTAGTCGAACGCTTGTTGATTACTTTTTCTAATATTTTTGATATAATGGGAAGAATGGAAATAGGTCTATAGTTATTAATACAGCCCACGTTACCACTCTTGTAAATAGGGTGAATCAGATAGTTTAAAAATACTTGGAGAATTTACCAGTTTTATAGGAAAGGTTAGATATATGTGTAATAGGAGTGACTAGTAAATTTCTTCACCTTTTTAGAAAGAAAGTAGAAATATTATGTCTACAACATAAATATGCTTTGTCACTTTTTCCTCATTCATTCCTTCTACATGACCAAACCACCAAAGCATTCCTTTCTTAATCCTGGTCACAACATCATCTTGCAAACCACACTCTTCTCTTATCACACAATTTCTCACTCTGTCATTCAGATTCATCCCTAACATAATCCATAATGACCGCATTTCTATAGCATTTAGTCTACTCTCGTGCTTCTTCTGCCACACCCAACTTTCACTATCATACATTAAAGTAGGGACTAACACAGCATTATGAATTGACATACGTGCCTTTTTCGACACATTCTGACTTCTCGTAATAGGGTGTAGAGCCCCATTCACTCTATTTTCTGCATTCACTCGTCGTTCTATATCCTTATCATGTCTATCATCCCTGCTAAATACACACTTCATATTCAAAAAAACAAAAAGATTTTTGTGTGTTCATGGACTTGAAAAAAGGCTTATTCATTTATAAACATTCATTTTAAAGACTGTAGACTTAATGGGTTCAAATAAGTTATCATTTTGCACGACTAGAAAAAGACATAATACTAGTTTGATAACCACAATGCCACCGAAGAAAGATGTAAAAGAAATTGAAGACGAAGAGCAGGAGTTAGATATACAGATTTCATTTAAAGACTTGGAAAAGTCAATGAATATTTTTACCGGAGATGACACCCATCCTATTGAGACATTTATTGACGAATTTGAAGATACTGCCAAAATTATGAAGTGGACTACAGTTGAGAAGCTGGTCTATGTAAAAAGACTTTTAGACGGTACTGCCAAGCTATTTTTACGATCGTTGGGAAGATTAAAGGACTACGCGCTTTTCAAAAAATCATTTATGGAAGAATTTGGCCCAAAAATTCATAGCGCAATCATACATAAGAAACTTGCATCGCGTAAGATGAAGTATGATGAAACTTACCAACAATATTTCCTGTCTATGAAAGAATTAGCACTTCATGGTAAGGTTGAAGACGCTGCGCTGATTGCGTATGTCATTGATGGTATTCGTGGCCTAGATATCAATAAAGTTATTTTATATGGTGCTACAGACAAAAATAATTTTCGCAGGAAGTTGGAAATCTACAGTGCTTTTAAAACGAAGATGCCTAACAAATCAGTACAATCTGGCCAATCACATGGGCATAATTTAACCCGTAAGATGGTTCATGTAAAAAGATGTTACAACTGTGGCGAACTGGATCATCAATCGCCCACCTGTCCAAAGGGAATCAAATGATTTAAATGTAATGTATTTGGTCACAAAGAAACTTTATGTACAAGCAAGCCTAAGAAGATGCTGAAAATTAAAAATAAAAGTGAAGAAGTGAAAGTGCCCTACAAAAAGATAAAGATTAATGGAAAAGAATTTGTTTCCCTAATAGATACTGGTATTGATATTAACATCATAACAAAATCAGAATTGGAGAAGGTTAAAGAGGGAATTAAAGATTATAAAACAAGATCAATGTGTATAAAAGGAATAGCCGAAAAACAAATTCTGAAGAAATGTTTACAGCCAATGTTGAAATTGACAATTACTACACAGATTTCAAGTTTTATGTTGTGAAAGACAACGAGATACCACCTTAATCCTATCCTTAAAGATTTGGAAGATGTTTCATTCCTGAAGGTGTCTTTATACAAGATTATGCATCCTACACTTCTAATAGAGGAAAAGGAAAATGAACAAGAATATGATATGGGAGATTCTAAAAACGCGGAAAAGATTCGTAAGATGTGTGAAGAGTACAAACCTAATGAAAAGAAGAAAGAAAGTAACGTTGAATTGAAAATAATGCTTACCGATGAAGAACCAGTTTTTCAGAATCCCCGACGTTTGTCACCCTTAGAAATGAATGCCGTGAATATGCGAGTAAAAGAATGGTTAGACAAAGGAATAATCAAACCTAGCAAATCTGATTTCGCCTGTCCTGTAGTTCTGGCTGCTAAAAAGGATGGGTCACGTAAAATGTGTATAGATTATCGACGATTGAATAAAAAGGTAATTAAAGGAAGATTTCCCTTACCTATAATAGAAGACCAGATAGACAAGTTGAAGGAGGCTAAAATGTTCACGTCCCTTGATCTGAATAATAGCTTCAAAAGTACATCTCATTTGTAACACTCCAATCCAGTACGAATTTCAAAGAATGTCTTTTGGATTGTGTACAGCGCCATCTGTGTTTCAAATATTTATTAACGATATCTTTAGCTATCTAATTACCGATGGGACACTGCTAGTGTACCTTGATGATTTAATCATACCCCCGATAACAGAATAAGAAGGAAGAAAGTATTTAAAAGTAGCGAAGGATTTGGTCTAGAATTTAATTGGAAGAAATGCCATTTTCCAAAGAAAAAACCCAATATCTCGGATACATTATTTGTAACAACGAAGTACGACCTTTTCCAGAAAAGATTAAGGCTGTAGCGAATTTCAAGAAGCCAAATAATATAAAAGCTGTCCAGTAATTCCTTGGACTGACAGGGTATTTCAGAAAGTTTATAAAAAACTATTCTCTGATTGCAAAACCGATGACGCATTTGTAAAGAAAGATGCTGTATTTAATTTTGATGAAAGGTGTGAGAAATCTTTTATAGAATTGAAACAAATATTGTGTAACTCACCAGTTCTCCGAATATTCAATCCAGATTTAGGGACAGAATTACACACCGACGCAAGTACTGACGGGTATAGAACTGTTCTTCTACAAAGATGCCCTGATGCCTATATTACACCTCCGCTGCAAAACAACAACTGCGAAACCGCTGCGTGAGTTTCGCTGTGCAACAGTACTTCACTTACGCGAAACTATATTAGCGAAACCTAAAACTAAAACAGTTGAGAAATAACAATCGAAAGAAAATGTCGTCGCTTTCGGAGTCAGAGGAGGAACTAATCTTCATGTGGTCAACTACTTTAAAAAGGCGTCGTACCTGGGTGCATGATATCAATAAAAAAAGAAAGAAGTTGGGAGAAAACATATTATGTAAAGAGTTACAGTCACATGAAGACAGTACAAGACAAGTACAAAACAGGTCTATTTCTCACTGCTTGTATAAGTTTTTCAGTAAATTCCAAATCTATTGTTCCTATTTCGCTCATAAAATTGTCGATTACTACAGACGCGTCCGAGATACACGCGAAACCGCTCCAAAATGGCGGACAACGGGCGGAGATGTAGACGGCGCCTGAGCAAATGAGTGAAATCATATTAGAAAGAGACAACATCATAGTCAGTTTTGTACGTTAGAGCAGGGAATTTCGTTATTGTTTCGCCGCCAAAGAACTCACAACTCACAGCGAAACTATTGCGATTTCGCCCTTTGAGTTTCGCAGCGGAGGTATGCTACAGGCATAAATGCAATCAATTTCACCCCGTGCACTATATGAATAAAAAAACAACTTCAGCTGAAAGAAAGTACCATAGTTATAACTTAGAAATTTTAGCTATAGTTGCTGCCATAAAGAAGTTCCGAAGAAGGTTCTTGGGATAAAATTTAAAATAGTTTTTTAGATTGCTCTGCTTTTATTATGACACTACAAAATAAGGGCCCTGTTTCTAGAAGAATACGACTACAAGATCGAACACAGACTAGAAACACGAATGAGACACGCCGACGCACTGAGCAGATAACCTATCTGTATGATACAACTCGTTTAAAGAAAGCATAGAATGAAGATGACTATGTGAGACTGATTAAAAAAAATTTAGAAACAGGAAAATACGATGATTATACCATACAGAACGAAATACTATATAAAGAGAAAGATGGAAGTAAATTGATTGTTGTGCCTAAGAAAATGCATTATGAGATAATCAGGAAAAATCACGAAAAAGGACATTTTGGAATCTTAAAAACTGAAGAACTGATTAGTAGGGAATATTTCATTGAAAATGAAAAAAAAAAATCATAAGTAATTGTATTGAATGCGTTCTCATATCGCACAAAAGTGGTAAAAAAGAAGGATTTCTACACCCGATAGACAAAGGTAAGGTCCCACTATCGAAATACCATGTGGATCATTTAGGACCAATAACTTCGACACACAAGAGTTACAAATACATCCTTACCATCGTGGATGCTTATACGAAATTTACATGGATTTACCCTGTTAAGACCTTAACAACGGAAGATACTTTAGAGAAACTAAGACTACAACAAACCTTTGGAACACCTGAAAGAATTATTACTGATCGAAACGCTGCTTTTACTTCAAGAGACTTCCAGGAATATTGTAATAGTGAAAATATAACACACTATACAATTACCACTGAACAACCCAGATGAAACAGCCAAGTTGAGCGCATCCATCAGATGTTTGAATGGAACATACCAAAGAAGTATAAGAATGACACCATTTGAACTGCTTTTTGCCACTCAAATGAGAGATAAAGATGATGAACTTCAGAAATTAATAAAAGAAGAAAGCATACACAATTTTAACAAAAAAATTTTTAAAAAAATAGAACATAAAAAGCTATAATATTGATATATTATTTGATTAATATTTGATTGATATAATATTGATAAAGCCCTTTAATATTGGGGATTTGGTAGCCATAAAAAAACACAGTTCTCACAAGGGAGTAAATTATATCCTAAGTACTTGGGACCCTATGAAGTTGTTTAATGCCATTCGAACGATCGTTATGTTGTAAAGAAGATTGGTAGCAGCGAAGGCCCGATTAATACAACCACCTCAGCTGATCTCATGAAGCCGTGGATTTCGCCAGAAGACGATTCATCTGGGTCAGATGAATGATCAGCACGGCCGTGTGGGATAATTTAGCAATGAGTGGTTTGTTTTTATTGTTTTTTGTAGAATATTATTGTGACTGATAATAAAAGAAGTAGTATAAAATGAGTGTTTCGTCTTAAATTCTTGAAATATCGCCATATATATATTAAAAAGAAACTTCAATTTTCGATGTGTACGTATTAAAATAATGATTACTGCGAACTATTATTTTTCACTGCAAATTCATAATTTATAAATATTATTCTGCCCGTTTGAGCCAAACCACACGTGTCACATCAAACTCATTTGCTGCTCTGTCACTTCCACACGCATTACATTTATAATGTCATTCGGAAAAATTTCAAATGGGTTTTTTTATTATAGTATTTTGTTATGATTTTGTTAAGTTTAAAGCCGCACGTAGTAACCATCTTAACCAAGCAAAAGACTGCTGCATTTCGGGAAACTGCAATCACTAATAATACCCTCTTTAAAAGGGAATTACTCCCGTGAACAATATGAAAGGTACACAAAGAATATTTCATGAGCTCGTAAACGTCCATTACTGGATATTGGCTTCTCCTGTTAGTTCAAACAAATCATAAAGATATTGGAAAATATAATTTCTTAATATCATTATGATTTGTTGAGTAAAGTCATTTTTGCTAATTAAATTACTGAGTATAAGTGATAAATTGTGAATTTATTAACGAGAAAAATCTCTTTTATTCTGAAAAGTCTTCTAGTCATTAATGATATAACATTGTAAATTTTTAGGGGTTAATAATATAATACTAAGGCAAGAAGATAATTAGTTTATATAAATTAACTATATCCTTAAAGTTATATAAACTTATTAGTTTTTATAACTTTTATAATTATACATAATAAAGAAATTATTCTAAAAATATTCATAATTAATAATAAATATTTTTAATAAAATGTTTAAATCATTTTATATTTAAATAATTAAATATAATGGATGAATATATAATTCGAATAAAAAAAAATTGCATGCCTTAAGCGCAAAGCGCGTAGGCATAAGGTGTAGATTTATCAAGTTCGCATGGGGGGGTAAACACGATAACTTTTGAAAATATGAATTGTTCAACTCAATCCTTTTTTTTAAACTTTTCATCTATCATGTGGGAAGCCATGAAATGTAAATGGCAGTTTAATTTTGTTTTGCTTAGTTATTTTTTTTTCACCTGAGAAATAGCGAAATGTTCGGTCTTTTGAGCAACCTTGTATTAATTTATTTAACTAAATACACTTTCCTCAGCTCTCCGCCTCAGAGTACTTTTTACTCCGGGCTCAGCCGCCGTCGTGAGTGGTCATTTGTTTACAGTGGTTCGTGCTGAAAAATATGGATCGCTTTAGAAATACAAAATATTCCCAAAACCAAATTTGATACATACTTGACCAAGGTAAGATATTATTATCATTTTTATAATCACAGATTTTTTTACAATATTTTGTTTCGCTAAAAGTACGCAGAATTTATACATAAATATACTTATACGTATTGGACTTTATAAAGTCCTGAAGATGTACTTCGATATCCGCTACTGGAATTCCTGGAAAAGTAGTATTAGTAATAGGTTTGCTGAGTTCGGATTTGAAAGAGTGATCTAAAGGTTTACTTCGATGACTGCTACTGGAACTCCTCGACGGTTAGTAATAGGTGATCCGACTTTGAGCTCGTTTTGTTAGTTATGATGAGACCTTACCTCCAGACTTGATAGAACGACTTAAAGGTGTACTTTGATGACTGCTACTGGAACTCCTCGACGAGGAGGACTACATGTGCAGAGTTTGGGCTCGTTTTGTTAGTTATGAATAGACCTTACCTTCGAACTTGACGGAGTGACTTGAAGATGTACTTCGGTGACTGCTACTGTCACTCTTTGACGAATAGAACTACAATTTACATTTTTTTTATTTTTTCACTATCATATGAGCATAATAAATCGTGGACTATTGGATTTTCCAAAATTTTATTTTAATTGAAGTTTGACATAAAGCTAATGGAAATTTGTAAGTATAATAATAAGGTTATTAGTGAAAACTTGTGTATTTAAACTACTAAAAGACTGTAGGTATAATCATGTAATTTTTTACGTAATAATAATACGTAATTTTTTTAATATGCTTAAGGCATGCACAATTGGATTTACCAATAATTTAATTAATCTTATTATAATAAAAAGAAATCTAGTAAAATAATTGCCATTTTAGATTTGGTTATATAAGTGATCCCACTAACCGACCTACGAGTATATCTTTATAACGGTGCTTAGCAAAGGTTGTTGTGAAATTAATTTATAATCACCTAATCAAATTTTTATTTCGATTATAAAACAAGAATAATATACATA